CCTATGTCTTCTTTCCTATTTATATTCCTGTTCCTCGTTCTGTTGTTTTCTTTGACTTTCTTCATTTCCGTTAAGTTGTCTTATCTCAACAGGTTTCCATTAATCGCTTAGTTCTTGCAATTTGTCTCTATTTCGCTTCCTTAAATTTTGCTTTGCTTTTAACACCTTCCGATTGGCTAGCAACTTGCTACTCCATCGCTATTTTCAAAGCAGATGTTCAGGAGAAGTACATTATTTAGTTTCACGTTTTGATGTGATTTGTTCGTTTAAAGACATATCAAGTCCTTATACCGAAATTTAATTATGTTGCAAACGTTGAATAAAAGTATATATTATTCTGCTCTCACAATTCAATACATGGTAGATGATACTCAGATTTTGTGCATATACATATTTATGTGGACATAATTACTATATGCGGTGATATGTTCATTTTATATTGTAGTTTTATTTTAAAATTCTATTTTGGACTACAGTTTGATTTCTTTAAGAAATTGTAAAATATAATATGAATTAATATCATGAAAATATCCTTTCATGTTGTTTATTTTGTTTATATTGTTTAGTAATATATCTAGTCCTACGTTTTTTTTACTTCCAAAATCTAAATATTTTTAACAATTTTATGGCTTCAACTAAATAGTTTTAGCGCAATGGTATACCTTCAACTACAGATAAAATGTACTGTTGGTCATTTTGCTATAAAATCTATTGTTGGTTATTTCATTATATATATATATATATATATATATATATATATATATATGTGTGTGTGTGTGTGTATATATATATATATAACACGTTGCAAATTAAAACAATAATAATGTTCTTTTTATGAAAGTATTTATTTATTTGTATACTTTCATGAAAGAATATTATCACTTTTTTTTTTAATTTACAACTTTTTCTATATATACATATCAAGAAAAGAATACGTGGCTTTCATTATGCTATATATATATATATATATATATATATATATATATATATATATATATATTTACATTATATATATATATATGTAAATATATTGCTTGTATTTTTTCTATGAAAGTAAATTTTATACCTCCATATTTTTTTTTTTTTTTTTTTTATGGTGGGGTCATTATTGCTCATAGGTGTGACCCTAACAGGTGCTACCACCCCGGGTCAGTATGAAACTGGTAACAACAGCAACTAAGAGGTGGTTCCACGCTACTCAAAACCGTCAATCTCCCGATGAGACTTACTGCTACCGGGTGTAGATTATGTATATACTGACATCGATACAGGACTATTGGTTCCACAATTCCACACCATAAATTCTAGGAATCTCCTGGTCGCGTACACTGAGTCGCTTCATATAAACCTCCTTCATATTCCAATCAGCTGCCCTCCACGGGAGCTAGCTTAAATGCTGTCCGATTTAAATTTAAAAAAGATAGACGCTGGTGTCTAAGCCTTTTTTTTGGTTAATGTAAATTACCTTTAAAGTAAGGGTCTATCTTTTAATTTTGAATTTTAATATAACTATAACAACAAAAACATTTCGATTTCATTTTTGCCTTGAAAAAGTCGGAAGACGAAACGCGTCGGCAAAATGTAAGATTTTTTTCCAATTGTCATTTGATACCAATCTGTCTTCTCCACAGAATTCATCTCGGAATTTAAGTATATATATATATATATATCCACTGCAATGAGAACGAAGATGTTATATAAATTCTAACGTTCACAGCATTAATCCAAAAGCGAGCCCGATACTGATAGCAGAGGAAGAATAAACGAAGTTGCATCTTTGAGTGAGTAAACTGTTTTTACTATATGAAAAGATTATATATATATATATATATATATATATATAGTATATAAATAAAAAGAAAGAACAGAAGATATAAATCCGGTGTTCTTATAGATATTTTATTTTTACAAAATTTCAATGTTTTACAGAAAATAAGTTGCTTTATTTATTTTGCAATAAAAGCATTAGTTTTATTTCTTTGAAGATGAAATAGAGTAAACTTTTTTATTTGCAAAATAAAATTAGGGTTTTAGCTTCTATTTTTGAAACATGGTTGGAACTGTGTAGCGAAAATAACCATATTTTAAATCAATTAATTATATATATATATATATATATATATATATATATATATATATATATATTGGACTATTGTCCTCATGTTTGTCGCCATATTTATGACAACGTTTTGGCCGTTGTACGTTCCGGCCTTCTTCAGGTGGTTGGAATTTCGAACTGAACCCTTTATTTCGATCAATGGGGTAGACTGTTCTAGTTCCACGCGCCATGTTTGATGGATGTCAATTATCAGTTATCTTTTTGCTAATTTCCCTCTGAAAGTTCTCCACTGCCTTAACCGGGTATTGAACACAGAGAGTTTGGGTCCTGTCACTGGATCTAACCAACGCCTTTATCCACTGTGCCATGTGTCCTTGAAATTCCAACCACTTGAAGAAGGCCGGAGCGTACAACGGCCGAATCTTTGTGATAAATATGGCGACAGCGATGAGGACAATAGTCCGAATACTGTAAATAATATACACAATACCTCATGTCAGAAATATTGACACACACACACACACACACACACACATATATATATATATATATATATATATATATATATATATATATATAGTCTTAATGTGTACTATATTTATGGGATAAAGTGCTCAATAGCAGAGATAGAGCGTGTGTAAATATAAAAGTGAACATTGAAGTCAACGCTTAGAAGCTGAAAAAGGCTGTTTCATGCTAGACGCCACTATGCGGCCACGCGCATGCGCCCATCTACGCGGATGCCTGTACGTGAAGCGTGTTCATTTGTCCTTTTCTTTGATTTTTCCACTTTATACTTGCTTCTTAACCTTTTCACTTTTTTCCCCCTTTTCCTCTTTTCTCTCGAAAGTTGACGTTTGTCTCTATTTATTATTTTCTCTTGACATACAAGTTTTTTTTTTTTTTTTTAAATTTTGAGCGTTTTGCTGGATGGAGGCTAGATTCGAATTTCATGCATCATGTAGATTGTTACACTATTAGAACTTCTGCTGCTGTATCCGTTTTTTTTTATTTTCTAATATTCTCGGAACATAATTTAGTAGGTCGACCTTCGTGAAATGAAAAAAAGAATTGAATTTACACAGAAAATGCACTTTTGCTATTTCCAAACATAAACTACGGGTGAAATTTGTCAAGTTCGTCCATGCTGTGAATATTGCTGCCATATTTTGGCATGGTGTTTCCGCTATATAGTTAGAAATTCTTGATAAAAGACAAAGATTCTGAAATGTTATTGGTCCTGATCTGGCGTCTTGCTTTCAGTCACCCTCTCACCGTCGAAAAGTAGATACAGGGTGACTTTTTTATAATTATTTTCACGGTAATTATTATGATGAAGTTTCCTCTATGGTACCTCGACTTAATGAATTTAAGCGCAGTGCTAGATAGGCGGCAAGGTATCACCCTTTTACAATGAAAATTGCTCGATTTAATCGTATATTCTATGCATATTTCTTTTTCTCGCACTTCTCACTGCTGGGTCAACATTTTTCTTGAAAAATTTAAATGCAATGCTAATCGTTATATTCTGTTTTCTCAATCCCTGTTCTGTTATTATGCTCTCCTCTTAATAGTGTGTGTTTTCTTCTCATATCCTCTCACACTCAGAGACCACTTGTGTCGTAGTGACTGTATTGCCTTTATTGATGTGAAGTATTTAATAAAAAAGCCGATAACACATTGAAAGAGGAGTAAGAAAAATAGCCACACGAATTATTTAAACTATAACTGTTGTTACTAAAGAACTACATGTCCTGTTAGGATTTATTAAAAGAACTACATGTCCTGTCAGGATTTATTTCGGTCGAATATAGTCTTAAGATACGGGAGGATAAAGCGATGGCACTAATATTTGGGCAGACTCAGAAAGAAAACTGACAGAACTTTTATATAATGGGATCCATGAAAGCAAGAACACGACTAACCATTAACTCTAAGTCAAATTGTATGGTTGTCAGCAAAATAGATCCTCCCAGTTGAGGATTACCTATTCGGGACGTCGAAATCCAGTGGGTTACCAAAGTTTAACTGAGGAGTGTACTAACAAAAAACGAAATTCCTTGACGCAGAAGAATTAGCAAAAAATGGTTTTCAAAAATTAAACGAATTATTAAAAGATATTCCACCCCGTGTTTATGAAAAATCCCGAAAGACAATCGCTGGAACTCCTTGATAATCAGTAAAAGGAATCAAGGAAAAAATACCAAACATCAATTTTTAAAAGTAAGAATATACCAAATTTATGAACTTCGGGACGCTCGAATTAACAATTAGAGACAGCGGAATGAAAGAAACTCTGAAATGGAATTATATGGGAAGTGTCATCTCTGTGTCGGAGTGTGTATTACCCGGCTTCATAATCATCGTCCACCTGCATTGTGCTTTAATGTTACTCTTAGAAAGTCACCACTGCTTAGATGTGGCACAATGCTGAAAGTAGGAAGAACTCAGTGAGCATGAAGCCCACTATTCAGTCGTAATTGATCTAGTGAGTCAAACATACTAACAATTACGCGACGTCGATTGGTGCAGTGATTAGCAAACTTGACTCGCTAGAACAATTACGACTGGGTAGTGAGTTGGATACTCACTGGGTATCTCATACTTTTGGCCTTGTGCCACATCTAATCTACGATAATAAAATCAACATGGCATCACGTGAAGCCCCTTGCCCGTTTCCGTATGATTTGTAGTCTTATATCGGAACTTAAAAATAAAAAAAAATATCCCATCTTCGTCAGGGCGACACAATCACAGATTTAAAACAAACCTTCCGTTCGAAATGTTCTTTTAACATTTCTCATTCTCTTTCCTCTCTTCTTGTATCGTTCTATTTTACTGTTATTTACCGTAAGGTAGCTAATTTGGGCTACAAAAAATGGACACAGACTATATATTGAAATTATTAATCTTTCGTAATCATCTCGGATAGGATTACCCCATGGTAAGGTGCCTATCTATTCATTTTGGCTTCCACTTGTTTGTCAATTCGGCAACATTCTTTTTATTATTACCGCCCATTCTGCTTTCACTTACCGTTTCATTCTACTAGTGTGTTTTGTTTTTTATTCTTTTATTCCTTCGTTCGTGCCTTATCGTTTCTATTTCTGTTATCTATCTATCTATCTATCTATCTATCTATCTATCTATCTACCGCAAGTTCTATCTATCTATCTATCCATCCATCTATCTATCCATCCATCCATCTATCCATCCATCTATCTATATCTATCTATCCATCCATCTATCCATCCATCCATCCATCCATCTATCCATCGCAAGTTCCATCTATCTATCCATCTATCTATCTATCCATCCATCTATCTATCCATCTATCCATCTATCCATCTATCTATCTATCCATCCATCTATCTATCTATCGCAAGTCCCATGTATCTATCTATCCATCCATCTATCCATCTATCCATCTATCTATCTATCGCAAGTTCTATCTATCTATCTATCTATCTATCTATCTATCTATCGCAAGTTCTATCTATCTATCTATCTATCTATCGCAAGTTCTATCTATCTATCTATCTATCTATCTATCTATCTATCTATCTATCTATCGCAAGTTCTATCTATCTATCTATCTATCTATCTATCTATCTATCTATCTATCTATCTATCTATCTATCTATCTATCTATCTATCTATCTATCTATCTATCTATCTATCTATTCATCTACCATAAAATTCTATCTATCTATCTATATCTATCTATCTATCTATCTATCTATCTCAATTTTTTCATGCTATCGGTAATTCTTTCGTCTTCTAAACCGTCTTTCTTTCTTTCGTTCATTCATTAGTTCGTTATAAATTTCTTTTCATCTTTCTTTCACTCTTTTTTCTTTCCACCTTCTTTAACAGTTAGTATTACTTTTTCGTTCATTCTTTCCCTCTTTATTTCTTCTTTTAATTATTTGTTTCTTTCATCTTTCTTTCTTTCGTTTTTTTTTTTCCTTTTTAATTCGTTCCTTTTTAATTAACTTCTTCGGTTCATTCCTTCCTTCGTTTCTTTTTTCTAAATTTTAATTCTTTCTTTCTATTTTCTTTCTATCTATATTATCTTTTCAGACTATCATCCTTTCTTTTTCTCTTTATATCTTCTGATTATTTGTTTTTTCTTCCTTTCTTTTTTCTTTCATTCTTTCTTTGTTTCTTTCTTGTTTTCTTATTTCTTTGTTTTTTTTCCCTTAGTTCGTCCGTTCCTTTTTATTTAATTTATTATTTCTTTCCTTCCCTCATTTTTTCCTTCTAAACGTAACTTCTTTCTCTCTCTGTTTTTTATTTCATTTATTCGTTCATTCCTTTGTTTGTTCGATTTAAATTGATTTTTTTCTTCCTTATTCTTTATATATTTTTATTGGCTTTTTCTTTCTATCATTTATCCTTTGCCTCGTTATGTCTTCTGTTAAGTGTATATATTTTTTGTTTCTTTCTTTCTTTACTTCTTTCTTTCTTTCTTTAACTCTTTCATTCATTCATTCTTTCATTCATTCATTCTTTCATTCATTCAGTCATTCATTCATTCATTCTTTCTTTCTTTCATTCATTCATTCTTTTATTCATTCATTCTTTCTTTTATTCATTCATTCATTCTTTCTTTCATTCATTCATTCTTTCATTCATTCATTTTCATTCTTTCATTTTTCTTTCTTTCATTCATTCTTTCTTTTAGATATTCCTTTCTTTTTTTTTTTTTAAATTTTTTTTCATTCTTTTGCTTTCATTTTTTTCTTTTTCTTTAGATTTAGTTTTTAAATTTTTTTTTTTTATGCCTTCATTTTTTCGTTCTATTTATCTATCTTATTTCTATTTATTTATTCATCTATCTATCTATCTATGTTCACATCTATCTATCTATCTATCTGTTCTATCTATCTATCTATCTATCTATCTATCTATCTATCTATCTATCTATCTCACTATGTTCAAATATATCTATCTATCGATCGATCGTTCTTGGCTTTACATACAGTTGTTCATTTTCCCTCTTTATTCATTTTTTAAATATTAATATCTTTCTTTCTTTCTTCAGTTAGTCCGTTTATTTTAAATTTCTTTCTTTCTTCATTTCGTCCCTTCATTTACTTATTCCAAATTAATTTTGTCTTTATTTCTTTCTTTTGCTTGTTAGATTTGAATTGACTTCTTTCTTGATCTATCTATCTATCTATCTATCTATCTATCTATCTATCTATCTATCTATCTATCTATCTATCTATCTATCTATCTATCTATCGTTCTTGACATTAATTCTTTCCCTCCTTATATTATCCTTTAAATATTTCCTCATTTACTTTCTTTCTTTCTTTCTATATTTTTTTCGTCATTCATTTAGTTTTTGTTTTAGTCTATTTTCCGTTAGTATTTACCCTTTAGATCATCGATTTGATCCAGTTTTATCTGTATAGGTTTCACTATTTTTTACCTCGTTCCTGAAGCTTACTCATTTTTTTTTTATTTTCGATTTTTTCCCGGTAACTTGTATTTTTTTTGGGGGGGGGAGGGTTCTTCACTTCATCTCCGTTTCAGTTTTCTATTCTTTAATCCTTTCCTTCGTTCATCATTCCTTTCCTTCATTCTTCCATTTGTTTGTCTGTAACTAAATAAAAAATGTTCTCATAATTTTCCTTCTCTTTTGTGTGTTTTTATACATCGTACTAACTTCTTTAATTTCTCTTCTATTTCCTTTTTCTCTTGTTTCTTCTTTAGTCGCTTCTTTCTTTCTTTCTTTCTTTCATTTTATTTTATTGTTCTTTTCTTCATTATTTAGTCATTGCTTTACTTATTTTTTACTTTTTATCTTCGTTTGTTCTTTATTTGCTATTGCTTTCTTTTTCATTTCTTTTTTTCTCTCGTTAATATTTATTTCGTTCTTTATTTAGCCATTTCTTTACTTTACATTATTTTCCATTATCCATTACTTCCTTTCTTCCTTTCTTCCTGCCTTCCTTCCTTCCTTCCTTCCTCTCTGTCATTTCAATAATTCTTGTCGTTTCTTTTCTCTCATTTCCATTTTTCCTAGTTTTCGAATTTTGCTTTTTTTATTTCACTTTTGTCTTTTCAACCATTTCTATATTTCCACGTTTTTATTTTGTCTGTTTTTCTTCTCATGATCATAATGGCTATTTTCAGTTCTCCTCTTTCTTTTCTTTCACGTCTCCGTCTCTGTCTGATACACCATCTAAAACAAAATCATGCCCATGCGCACAAACACACAGGCGCATGCGTACACGTACAGCACATATTTTCTTACGTATTAAACTATTTATTCCCAGATGGTTATATATTTACAATTGGCGTCCGTTGCCAATGGGTAAAGAAGGAAGAAAAGAAACATATAATAAAGAAAACTATTATCATTTTCCCCTTCCTTTTTACCTGAAGCTCCGAAGAATCTAAAACCAAAAATATAAACCTGAACCTACTTAAAAAGCATAAAGAACAAACGACAAATAAATATCGATTCTATTTTATTGGAATCGATTGAAACAGTTGCCCATAAAAATGTGGCAATTTCCGACAATTCGGGAGACATTATACATTTAGATGTTTTACAGGCCGAAAAGCCCAATCGAATTTTTCAACCGATTTATTTTTGTTGTTTTTGTTCACCCATTACTTTCTTTAAAAAAGAATTCTCTCTTTGTATTCCTTGATTTATATCTTGTATTATGTTCTTAAGCTTTGCACGTTTCTCTGCTTTTCTCAGTCTTAAGACTTCCTTTTATTTTCAAACACAGAAACTATTTTCCTTGTCCATTTTAAAAATGTTTTCAACATTTCTTTTGTTATTTTACTCTTATTATGTTTTTAACAAATTTTCTTATTTTACTGATGCCTCACCGAACAGGAAGACTTCTTTTTTTTTATTTAGTTCATTGATTTTTCTTTTTTTCTTTCTCTCTTTCATTTACATTCTACCGAAAACGTGTTTTTCCAAATTTAACTCTTTCTGATTTTTGCATTCTTTCATTTCATAAATCGATTTATAATGGTCTTTTTTTTTCCCACCAATTGTTTCTTTTTTACTTTCATTTTTTTTGTTATTCTTCCTCATTCCGCCATCTTGTAAACCATCAGTATTTATTATGTTTAAACGTTGTTCATTTCATCTTTAAGATTATTTGCTTTCAATAATTTGAAATATTTTTTTTCTTTAAAAATATTTTTCTTCGTTTAGTCAATGATTTTCTATTCATTTCTTTTTTTTTTTTTAAATTATCATGTTTTCTGTTTTTTCTTCCATATATTCTATATTTTTTCAATAATTTTAGTAACTTTATTTTTTTTTCTAATTCTTCATTAAATTCCGTTTATTTTCTTTATTTCATGCTTGCTTGTCGACATCCATCTTTTCTTGTTTTCTACACATTTCTTTGAGTGTTTCTTTAGGTTGGGCATATGTTTTTAATTTATACATTCATTCCAACTTATTTTATCACATTTATCATTCTTTTCTTCTTGTTGTTCGTATTCAAAATAATCCTATCGTTCTGAGACTTTCACTCTGTCTCCCTCTAATTTTCACTTTTTTTTAGTTCATCTTTATCTCTTTTAATTTGTTATTTACGTTCTTGATTACTTCATTTCTTAATTTCGTTCGCGTCTTTTCGTTTATTCGTTATTTTCTTGTTCTCTTGATTAGATATGTCTTTCTCTATAAACTTGATGTTTTTTTTTATTTTTTCGAATCTTACTTATAATGTGTTTGTTTGTTTACCTGATCATTTCTTTCTTTTATAATTTCCTTTATTAATTTATTTATTCCATCCGATTTTCTTTGGCTCCATAAAAAAGAAATATTGATATACATTTTCCTTTCTTTCTTTCTTCATATATTTATTTACTTATTTATTACATCTGAATTTTTTTTTTGACCATTACAAACAGAAAGAAAATATAGTCATTTTATTTATTTTTTCTTCATTCTTAGTTCTTTTCGGATCCTAATCTTTCAACAATAGTTTTTCTTTCTTTCATTCCTTCTTTCTTTTTATTTCATTCTTCTTTCTTTTCGGTCTTTTATTCCATCGTTTATGTTTCTTCTCATTCAAATATCGTTTCCATTCACTCTTTGTCTACATCTTTAATAATTTTCTGTTATATTTTTCATTTCAAAACATTCGCGTTCATTTCATTTTCTTTCCGCCATTGTTATCTCAATTTTTCATTAGATACCTAATCTTCTTGAATCTTTTATTTTTCTTTCTTCTTTTTTATTATAGTGTTTTTTTCTTTATTTATTTTCAGTCATCATTTTCTATTTATTGTTATCTCCCCCCACACCAATATTTTTCATATTTATTTCTCCTTCTTTAAGATTTGCCTTGATTTGTATTTGATTATAATATTCTGCAAATATTTTTTCATTGTTTTATTTTGTTTTCATTTTTCATTTTTTAACAGATTATTGAGTCTTAAGAATTTTTTTTCATTCATCCATTTTGTCGTTTTTCTTTCTTTTTTCTCATCTTTCGCCTTAATTCACCCTCCGTCTTTTATTGCTAGTTTCTTTGTTTGTTTGTTTCTTTCTTTCTTTTGTCGATTGTTTGTTCGATTTGCATTGAATTGTTTTTCTTTCTTTATCTATCTATCGTTTTTTGGAAGCATTTCACCCCAAGAAAGGCGAGAAGCCACTAGGACGCAAGGGGTTACAGAAGATTTGGAGCAAGATCAGATAGGAGTGATAGAGGAAAGGATGAGGAGAAGGATAATGGATAAATCAAGGCAACTGGAGATGTCGATTGACATTTTATTTGAATAGTTGGAGATTATAGCTCTCAGTGAAACTGGAATAGGGAAGGGATTTCCACAGGCGAGAGGTGCAAGACATGAAGCTATTGGAGCAGAAGAGACGGCTACGTTTAGTAGTTTCGACAGTGAAAGCGTGAGAGCGGGATGCCAGCCTCGTAGGGCGCTTGAACTCATGAAGTCTGGGAACCAGCGAGTGCAGCACCTCGGAACAATTGCCATGGAAGTATTTGTAAAAAAAAGACAGAGATAGGCGACGGCGCGTCTGTGAGATAGCGACTGTAGACGAGATGCCAGAACACGGCCAATTATATTGCATATCCGCCTCTGGATCTTATCAAGAACCCCGAGGCAAACAGACCATATATGGCAGCAATACTCCATGCAAGGGCGAATTGTTGATTTGTAGATCTGGAGGATCGATTCCGGGGAGAAAAATTTCCTGTCGCGGCACAGGGAGCCAACATTCCTTGCGGTGGACGAAGCAATTGACTCAATGTATTTGTTCCATCTCAGGTCAGCGGTCAACGTGAGACCGAGCAGCCGCAGAGAGGTGCTCTCGAGAATTTGAGCGTCAGACATTCTAATGGGGAGGGGGGAGGAACCCTTTGGTGATTAATAGAGAGCAGTTTTGTTTTTGAAGCATTAAAGTTGACCAGCCAATTCCTGTCCCAGTTCACAACCGATTGGAGGTCCTTTTCGAGACGCACGGCTAGGTTAATTTTGTCAGCGACACTAGATCTATCTATCTATCTATCTATCTATCTATCTATCTATCTATCTATTGAAACTTGGATAAACATGGAATAATAATAATACAACACAAAATGTACGTAAACAAAATGTATTGAAACAAGGAAAAGGTACACAATATTTACAGTTAGTTTTGGTATATTCTTGGGAAGACTGTTCCTGCAGAATGGGTTGACTTAATCGCAGTCGGGCAGAGTCTCTCGATTCGATCTCTTTCTTTCTATCTTCCGGTACCAACCCATATTTATATGGTCGGTACTCCACTTATGTAAATTAGGTGTATCGTACACAACACTATCTATCTATCTATCTATCGTACTTAACTTTTTCATACATTTTCCATTCTTATTTCGTCTCCCAGCCGATTTATTCTCCTTCCTTCCTTCCTTCCTCCCTTTCTTTTTTTTTTCTTTCCTCTATGTAGTTAATACGAGATTAAATAGTGCAACCAAAATAATGTTCCTTAATCTTTATGTGGGGAGGCCCTGTCCCTCCTTAGGTTATTCGAGTTTATTAAAGAAAGTGATCATGTTAAACCATTTTCCAAAATCTGACAAAAATAACTGAACATTTTTTCACTGGCTTCTTGGTCAGGCTGAGAACTTTGTAACATTCGCTCCTATTTCAACGTCACCACTGATTACCGATATACATCCGAAGTACAAAACTATTGCAGATTTGTAACCAGGCTCTTCGCTGTGATCATTTTTCAATATGCCATATTATTCCAGGGTGTTGCCCAATCGTAACTATTGGTATCTTTATGTTTTTCTTATGCTTTAGTAACTTTTGAGATTTTAACATTTATTCCTGCCTTAATAGTAAGGCTGATCACTCCGACTAAGTCAATATGGCAGCGGATGTAAAAAATGATTCCAAGACCGATGTTAACTGTCACAAAAGATGGCTTGTCAATTTTACAGACTTCCCTCTACTAATCATCTGAGAGACCCCTCTGAGCCTTCCATCAGCGGCAAGATATCATCCATTTAAGGTTGAGTTAGGTAGATGAATGAGAAGAAACATAAACGATCGAATAAAAGACCGAAAAAGAAAGATGAATGAAATAAAAAAGAAGGAAAGAAAGAAAAACTATTATTGAAAGATTAGGATCCGAAAAGGACTGAGAATGAAGAAAAAAAAACAGAATAAAAAAATAAATAAAATATCTATATTTTCTTTCTGTTTCTATGCTACCAGTCTCTTTTCTTTCACTACTCACTGATGGAAATCCCTTCCAGCTCCATGTATTCCAGCTTCAAAAATTTAAATCCTTTGCCAATCGCTATCTACTGTCCTCCAGTGTCTCTACTTATTACTAATGTTTCCGTTCTTAATTCCCCCACACCCTGTAACCCTTTGCGTCTTAGTGGCTGTATCGCATTACTTGGGATGATACTAATTAAAAAATCAAGTTTTTTTTTCGTCATCGGCATGCTTTTGCATGTCTTTCATTAATTATGCACATTAGGATCTTAATTCTCTAAGCCTATTTTGCCCTGTCATCTGGATCATCAGAATACGCCGACTGCGTCCCTGCAGAGGGTAAGACTCAACATGAGGCGTCCTGGGTATAACGATAAACTATATCCGCGTAATGGGTATGGCGATAAACTACATCCAACAGCAAGATCAGGTGGTTTTGAGGAGTGTGGAACCACCTCTTAATTGGTGGAGTTTCCTTGTTCCCCTTGTCTAGAGGTGGTAGCATCTGCTAGGGTTTCCGATATGGGCAAGTTGTTAACCCCAATCTGGTGTGAAAACACTATGACAGTGTGAACAAAGGTTATAATACCAACTTTACATTTTTGAAAAAAAATAATATTATCAGCAACAAAAATTATGTCAGTATTGAAAAAAAAAAAAACCTTGTTGTGAGGGAGAATATTTCCCTACAAGTTTAGATTCGCCCGTCGGACGAAGGATATAAAATTAGACCTACATCAAGAGGAGCAGTATCAGCAGTAGTTTTTGCTGAAAACAGTTATTCATAGCTAACTATTCTCTTCCCTAGTTTCTATTCTACAGTGTTTTGCCTGTACCAGAAGGTAATAAACTTGTTAAACCAATTCCGGTTTTGTGTTGTTTTTGATAACTCATTTACACCTGTTAAGGTTGATATGCCGTAAACCAAACCAAACAAAAACTTATTTAATTATATCCCCAACATATTTCAGCTATTTTTTTTTCTGATTGCGACATATTCTTTGCCGTCCTTATTTGTATTGATATTCACTCGTTTCCATATTGTTCTCTACTGGAAATTTTCAGCAGCTGTCGATAAATGCACATCTCTGTTGCTTTTGCATTTGTGAGAAAATGGTCATTGGTTCCCTGACATATGTAAGGTAGGGTATGGCATAGTTTTGAGAACTTTTTACTTTGTTTCTAGAGGATAGAATACACTGTGTAACGAATTATTAACGAGGTGACAAATTTCTACACGTTAGAATTTAACGAAATATTCACAGAACGATAGCAATAGTTATATGTTCGCGGTGTGTAAAAAAAACTATAAAGTTCTGCGCAAGTATAAAAAGAAATCCCGCAGCCATTTGCATAAGTAACACGATCCTACAGTTTTCCAAATTATTAACGAGTGACTTCATAATCGTGCAATTCGGGACGCAATTGTGACTTCTGAAACGTTTGTTATATCTTAACTTGCAAATGATAAATCAAAAGTACAGGGGGCCGACACTATTTTGAGGACACTTCAAACTACATACATACATACATACATACATACATACATACATATGTATGTATGTATATATATATGTATGTGTGTGTGTGTTTTTGATACATCAAAAGATACGTTAACAAAGCAAACATGAAAAAGTTTACGAAACTTAAGAAAAAATAACAAAGTTTGATCATCAAATTGTTAAGATGAAATTCCAAAGAATTTTGGGATTATTAAATTGTATTTTTGATCTTGTTGAGAACCTTCGAAATTTAAAAAAAAAAAAATTTTCGTGGGTCAGCGGAGACCATAAATTATTATAGGAAATATTTGTTTATATGTATACAGATAGACAGAGAAAAGAAGAGAAAATATCTGTATAACTTGTGTATACGCACGCGTGTGTTTAGATGTATGCGTGGGAATGCATATTCGTACACGTATACAGGAGGCCGACACTATTTTTGGAACATTTTGAAAAGTCTGATAAAAGTGTTTTTTGCTTCCGAGAGCTTTTGTGTTGATGAGTAGGTTGTTCAGCAGTAACTGTCCATTAATGGTATGAACATTGATTGTTGGGTTTGTCTTTCGTTTCATGTTTTCTTTATTTTTTACTTCAACTTAGGCGACACTATTTTTCGGACATGACACAAATTCCGGGATTTTTAATGATTTAGTCGTCGAACGTCTACAATATGCAAATTTTCTGCAGGTAAATTGTACCCTGACCATTAAATTTGAGTATCTTTACCATTCACTGCGAAAACATAATAAAATCCTGAAGAAGAATGCATTGAAAAGAAGTCATCAGTTTGGTCCAAAAGAAGAGAGAAGACGGGCTCAGCATCCGAAAGATCGCCGCTGAGATGAAGCTAGCGAAGTCAACAGTTGAATACATGCTAAGTACAGACTATGAGCGGAAGAAGAAGAGAGGACGAAAAAAAAAAATTTCCAAGAGAACAGAAAGAAGAATGAAGAGGAGTGTTACGAGGTTGTTATCATCTGGAGAAAAGGTGACAGCGAAGGAAGTAAAGGAGAAATGTGAACTTGACTTCAGTGTTCGAATTGTACAAAGAAAGATACACGAAATTGGACCTAAGTATGCTAAAATCAAGAAAAGAATTACACTAACGACAAAACACAAGGAGGCAAGGCTGGCAAGCGCCAACAGATGGATAACACACCATGTCGACTTCAAGGAAGTGATATTTATTGGTGAAAAACGTTTTAAGTTCGATGCACCTGACGGGTGGTGTACATGGTCGAGAAAAGGTGAACCTGTAATTCTCAACAAGCGACAGATGGGAGGAGGAGGAGGAGTCATGGTTTGAGGCATGGTATTTCCGAATGGAAACTTGTGGCTCGAGTGGTTAAAAGGACGTCAAAATAGCTTGAGCTACAGAGAACTTTTGGAAAAGAGAGCCCTACCACTCATAGAAAAAGAAATGGGAAGTAATTTTATTTTACAGCAAGATAACTGCAGCATCAATGTGCCATCAGTGAAAAATTGGATGTGTGAAGCAAATATAACTACTCTGGAATGGCCTGCAAGAAGTCCAGACTTAAATTTAATTAAAAACTTATGGGAAATGCTTGCAGAGTTTGTTTACGACGGACCAGAAATAACCAGAGAGGTTGAACTGTGGCAGCGCGTACAAGATGCTAAAAATAGACTGCTAGAAACACGAAGAGACGTTATTATCAATATGTACGAACATTATGAAGATAGACTGATAGAAGTCATTGAAAAAAAGGGTGCTATTAGCATTGTTTCTGCAATGTCCGAAAATTACTGTCGCTTGTGTAATATGAAAATTTGTAACAAAATAAAAATACGTCTAATTTGAATTCTGCTTTTAGATTTGTAGTATTGAAACAGTTTTTAAATGTTACTGCCATTACACTAAAACAGTACAGACTGCCTGTGCTACCTAAAACTTGAAAAAACTGTGTTTGAAAAATAGTGTCGGCCCCTGAAGAAATATCCAAAATGATTGGAAGATGTAACCAAACGGTGGAAAAAACTTTGTTGCAGCTCCTACGAAGGTACGTATGAGGGCCGATAAGAGTCACTCGATGTTTTTTTCCTAAAGTTCTTTATCGCGAATTAAACGTGAAGTTGTAAATAACCCAGGCTTCACAAGCGGAGAAATTTTCAGGCACACTGGAGAAACACTGTGTCCAGAACTACTCGATGTCGTCTTCAGAAAAAAAAAAAAAATACTTACAAAGGCATATGAAATGGGCGGATGATAACATGAAAGTTAGATTCTCGAAGGTTTTGTTCACGGGTGAACGTCGTGCTACCATAGATGACCCTGTCGGTTGGAGCAAAGGATGTGTCGTAAA